ATACTACATCAGAGTGGGCCCCAAATCCAATAGGATTGGTGTCCTTATAAGAAAACAGCCATGTGAGGGTGGAGATACCAAAGAAGACCACGTAATAATGAAGGTAGAGATTGGAGTTATTTGCATGTCAAGGAATGCAAAAGATTGCCAGCAAACCACCAGAGCAGGGGTATCAAACTCCTTTTTACCAGGGGCCACATCAACCTCGTGGTTGCCTTCAAAGGCCCGAATGTAATTTTAGGACTGTATAAATGTAACTACTCCCTAACTGTTAAGAGAGAGCTTGGTGCTGCTGCTGGGTAGAAACAAGGTGCCGGGCCAGATAAAACAAGGTAGAGGGCCGGATCTGGCACACAGGCCTTGTGTTTGCCACCTATGCACCAGAGGCCAGGGAAAGTCAGAGAAGAATTTTTCTATAGGGAGAAAGGATGGCCCTGCTGACTCCTTGAATTTGAACTTCTGGCTTCCAGAGCTGTGAGACAATAAATTTTGTTGTTTTAAAAGGCCCAATTTGTTATGTTGTTACAGCAGCTCTAGGAAACTAATATAGGTATAATATAGAAAAAAATGATAAGGTTTTGTTACAGAACAGACAGGAGTGGGGGTGAGTGATATACTTTTACCAAATGGACCCAACCTTGTGCTCAGGAGTCCCCCACCCTCTACTAGGTTTGCCTTGCCCGCTGCCAGGGAAAGACGTCTCTCAATGCCAGAGATTGGTGAAAAGGAAAGGCATTATTTATTTAAAGAGTTGCATAAACTTAAGAGTAATGACTTAATGTCTTCACTGAGATTCCAAAGTCCTTTAGAATACCCACAAATGCACAGTCCTTCCTTCTCCCTTTGCCCAGTCCGGGGTACTGTATCTCAGAAAAAGAAATATGAGTCAGTGGTTCTTCACTGCCCAAGCCACATGATCCGAAAGAGATGCCGCATGGCTGCCACACCTGGGTTTAAATCCCAGCGCCAATCTTCCTCTACTGCGCCATTTCTGACTCCTCCTGAATTGGTCACAGCTGCCAGCATAGTCTGGGCAGGTGTGTAGCCAATCATCTCCAAGCTCTTACACAGGCTCTGTAACCAGGGGAAGTTGCCTCCCAGTTATATCACATGTTGAAGTCACTCACATTCGCCTGGCTCAAAGCATAGCCACAGATGTTTAACATATCTATGAAACCAGTTAAAGGTTATAGACATGTAAAATGACCATTCTAGAAGTTATCTGCAAAACTGTTGCTATGCAAAACAGCTCTCAGTGGCCTTCTCCATGTGTTCCATCCCCCAGCTCAGATTTGTGGGGGTGAGGACACCTTGTATATACTTTTTCAAATATTTCCCAGACACCCTGAGTTTGGGACCCCATTGCAAATCCCTATTTGCCCCTGCACTCTGCACTTGACTGCACCCTGTTACAGTTTATTCCTTCAGTTCCTGGAACAATTCTAAAAAACCATGAGCAGAAAGAAAAGGAAAGCAGACATAGCCTCAACATAAACAAGAACTTGCTAGTAGTTAAAGGTATGGCAATATGAAGTCAAGGTCTTTATCAAGTCATGAATTCTCTGCTATTAAAAATGTTCAAGCAGAATGGAACAGTACTGAGGTGATCTTTGCATCAAATGGCAAGTTAGACTGAATGATCTTCAACTCTAAAATTCCATATGAACTGCTGTAAAAATTCCTGTCAAATCAATGCTGGCAGCTTCCTTTTCATCTCCTGATTCAGTAAAGAGCATAATATAAAGGCATAGCATGGTGCATAATATATAAATCTAAGCTCTAGCTCTCAACTAGCTATTTGTTCTTACGTAGTTTCCCACCTGTAAATAGCAATATTAATGTAACAGGGTGCAGCCAAGAATGGGGGGCCCAAATAGGGATTTGGAATGGGGTCCAGAACTCAAGGTGTCCAGGAAATATTCGATATATAAGATGTCCTCACCCCTTCCCCCACAGGTGTGAGCTGGGGGAAGGGACACATGGAGCAGGGCCACTGAGAGCTGTTTTGCATAGCAACAGCTTTGCAGCTAACCTCAGCCATGGTCATTTTACATATCTATAACCTTTAACTGGTTGCATAGATATGTTAAATAACTATGACCATGCTTTGAGCCAGGGGGATGGAAGTGACTTCCACCCAAGACATAACTGGGAGGCAACTCCCCCTGGTTACAGCACCTGCATGAGAGCTTGGAGATGATTGGCTCCACACCATGGGGCCATGCCTACCCAGACTTACTATGGCAGCCCAGTAAAGCTGAAAGGATATGGGAGTGCTGGCAAGTGCAGCTGATTGTGGGAGAAGTGGGAAATGGGGCTGCATGGAAGATTGGCATGAGGATTTAAACCCAGACATAGCAGCCTTGTGAAAGAGAACCATGTAGCTTTGGCTGGAATGGGGACTCCTGCAGCCATGTGAGGGAGAACCATGCATCTTTGCCGGGACAGAACTACGCAGTTTTGCCAGTATGGGGACCCCTGCAGCTTTGTCCAGAGTTAAGGCCACATGGCTTTGGGGTACTCCCTTTGGTGACCTGGTTTAGGAAGCAGAAGAGACTTTGCCTGCAAGAAAAAAAGGTGAAAGGACTTTTACCAATGGGCCATGAGAAGGTGCCACATGACTTTGGATTAATTGGAGATCCTGACGGCGACACAGCTGATGGTGCCAGGAGCCTGAATCACAGACTTCTACTTTTCCTGAGATTCAGTATCCTAAATTAGGGCAGAGGGAAAAGGAAAGATTGTGTGTGTTTGTGGGTATTTTAAGGGACTTTGGGATTTTGATGAAGACATTAAGTCATTGCTCTTAAGTCTGTATAACTTGAATAAATAATTCCTTTCCTTTTCACAAATCTCTGACATTGAGAGATGTCTTTCCTCTGGTGGCAGACATAATGAACCTAATGAGGGTCCTTTCAGTAGTAGCATACCATGCCCCCCTTGGACCCGTTCTATAACAATATCACTTTGTAAGCTAGTTAATAACTTTAATTACTTAGAACAGTGCATGGCAGATAGTAAGTAATATGAAAGTGTCATTTGAAAAAAATACTTGCTTTTATGTTGGTTAAACAGAATGCATTAACACTGTCTTTCTATCACTGCCATTTCTCATCTCCAAACATGGAAAATCAGGAGACAAACTAGAACTGCTTTTATTTTTTCAGTCTTCTTTTTTTTTTTTTTTAGTTTCAAAATTGTGCCGTTTGGACTATTTATTGACCAAGTATCAGAAGTATGATGCTTTCATCAATTTTCTTGTAATAAGCCATGATCTGCTTGCTGGTCACTGGCTAGGGTGGGTTTGTGCATGAGTGTGTGTGTGTGTGTGTGTGTGTGTGTGTGTGTGTGTCAGGTGTTTCCGAGAAACAAATCATCCTGCAGCATCATTTTTGGATAATAAAAAACAGTTCACCCTAATAAAGCTCACCTGAGTTTTAGGGTCCCACGGTGCTGAAGTTACATACAGGTGTGAAGTCTCTCAAAATTAAATTCTCAGACATTCAGGTATTTTATTAAGTTAGCATCTGTTGGTGACTGAAGGGTAATTTCAGGAGCTAATAAAAGCATTTTTAGTGTATGAAACTCTTCATAAATGGAACATAATTATCAAAAAGATATCCTCATTCAATGATTTAAATTTAACACAGTGTGCTTTTATTTCTTCACTATATAAGGTTACTCATCACTGCATCATTTGGGTGCATGAGAGACAGCTTTGGCAGGTTAATGATACCCCAGGCAAATTCACAGTTCCTTTCAATGAAGCAAACGATCAATGCATGTGGTAGCGGTGCTTGTACCCATATAATTCTGAAGCCAGTGATTATGTAACCTTCAGGCACACCAGACAGAGGGAGGGAACAAAATCAAGGACAGAGTGTTCCTTCTACAAAGAGAAACTCAGTGAGATAGCACAGCTCTTAAACATAAGGATATACTGAAAGGCAGCAAGGAAGAATCAGCTGGGGAAGCACTGAAAAACATGTTTGATTTAAGGTGATGTTTAGAGGCCATCAAGAGTAATAGAATGGAGGATTGCATTTCTAAAATATATATGTGCTTTGTGATAGGTCTTTTATTTTCACAAAGGAAGGCAACCAGTGTAGTGAAAGACCAGCCCTTCACTTGGTGTTTAATCCCACGGGTCCTTAGACAACTTCCATGAATTCCCTGTGTCTCCATTACCTCATGTGGGTAATGGTGTCTTCTGCTGGGATTGCTCTCCAGATTAAATGACCAGAGTATGTGAGCCATCTAGCTCAGTATTTGACAATAATAGGAGCTGACTAAGTATTGACTTTTGTCTTTTAAGCCTCTTCATCTTTTCACGTTTTGAATGCAGAGTTTGAGATCAGATAAGGGTAAATGGCATGGAGGAAGCAAACACCACAGTTCACTGCAAATAGCTGCCTCCTAATGCACCTCGATTCAGTAAATATTTCTTGGTTATCTACCAGATGTTGAACACTGAGGAAACAAAAAGAAGAGTCATAAGTTGTGTGCCTTCGGGGAATCACAATTCAAAGTCAAGTGAAAGTAAACAGCCTTATCCATTGAGAAATGTCTTACTAGGTAAATGAACTGATTTTAAGCATATATTCAGCATTCAAACAGATTGACCAATTCAGTGAAAACACAGCATGATCTTAAATACCTTTCCCTTTTAATATTCATGGGTGGACTTTATAGGAGTATTAATTAGCTTGATAGTGTTTCCTCATTAGCACCTATTGTTTTTGTTTGTTTGGTTGGTTGGTTTACTATCTTATTCTGTATGGGCTACTATAACAGAATACCATAACCTGTTTGGCTTACAAACAACAGAATTTTATTTTTCAAAGTTCTGGAGGCTGAGAAATTCAAGATCAAGGTGCTGGCTGGTTTGGGTCTGATGAAGGCCCACTTCCTAGTTAAGGGTTAGGATGTAAATGTGAATTTCAAGAGGATACAAACATTTAGTCCATAAGAGTTAATATTCCATTTGCTTTGTAAATTAGTTTGCGTGGCAGTGTGGAAGAACCACCACATGAGGACGGTAACCAACTACTTCATAGTCAACCTTTCTCTGGCCGACGTGCTCGTGACCATTACCTGCCTTCCAGCCACACTGGTTGTGGACATCACCGAGACCTGGTTCTTTGGACAGTCCCTCTGTAAAGTGATTCCTTATTTACAGGTAACTATAAACTAAATGTCTAACACATTTAAGATTCTTTGGACATTTACTAATTTTCTATGATTTATAGGTTTTTTTCTTCTGAATATAATACAACACAACATTCGGATTTATGAATGATTTCAATAACACTTTGGCACATGCTAAAATGTCACAAACAAATCTTTGATGAATAATTAAAATTAATTTCAGTATCTTTAATAATGCTGCAAATTCAAGACCATTAAAATATATTGGGCTGATTGCTGAATAATTATTATGAATTCTTTGAAAATTCTATGTCATTTTTTCTCCTACTTACAGGCACAGTTAGCTCCTTTTTCAAAGTGATTTTTTTAACTGCAAAAAAGGCTCTGCACAGGAAATGCCAGAAAAAGAAAAAAAACAACTGAGACGTGGGTGGTGGTTGCTGAAGGGTTGGACGGCCTCCTTCACTTTCAGTCACACATCTCCACCTTCCAGTCTGTTAGTCCCTATCTTCCACATCTGGGACATGACAAACTTCCACTTCTACTTGTCTTGGATCTCTGAAGTACATTTACCATTTCTATATGAAAATATAAAACAGACTCATTCTCCTCCAAAGAGCGCCTCCACCATGGCACTGAACAAAGAGTGTACCTGGCAGCAGAAGAAATTCACATCATCTCACTTCACTTCATTCACAACATTCATGATCCCCACTAGATTTATTTTTCAAATGATTAACTGTCTGGTTGATTTGAGCTAATATCAAATTTAAATGGAAGAATGTGCACAAGTGCACTCCTAGATTCAAAAAGCAACAACATAACTCTCAATTGTAATCACTTATGATAAGATGTAATTTTATATCCCCCCAAGAAAATCATGTAAATTGTTTGCTAGTGTGTATTATACACCAACAAATACAGTCATCAAACAGTAAAAATTAAATCATTGATTGCCAAGGGTCCATCTAGTGGATTCTATTGCTGGATCAGCCATACAGCATAGTCGCTCACATTGCCACGCAACAGACAAGGCATTGCACTCCAGCTAACTGTTGGCAGTGGATGATAGTCTTTCAAGTGAACTGTTTTGATTTATTACTATCTAATGCTAGGGGAGGTACTAGAATGACTTCATAGTTTGAACCATACTATGTCTATCTAATTCACCTACTTTGATTAGAATAACAAATCACTAAACCTTGTTGAATATTTTGCTCTTGGTTGGTTAAATATAGAATGTGGCACAGCAGCTGTGAAAGATCAACAGGGCTGATCTAAGCCTGTAACAATTCTACCCCCAAGTGAGCAATAATATTGAGGGGCCTTGTGTGCTTGGCATATAGGCAGGGGAGTAATGGAGGTTGGGAGGAGAAGGGGGTAGATTTGGGAAAGAGATTTGAATGCACTCTGAGGTAGCACCAAGGAATTCCCAGGAGTCACCAACCAATCTAAGCCTACCCTGATGGATTTCAGCTCTTTAAGATTATACTTAAAATGAAATTAACCCCCAAGAATTTAACATAGTTTAAGCTTTACTTGACTATTTCTATGACTGTTCTGCACTAAAATGTTGTCTGTTCCAACTAAAAGCTAAAACTCCAAGTTTGAGAAAGAGAAACCTGATGGTTCACTCATCATTATCATTGCCATAATTATAATGAGTGATAACAAACACAGCATTCATATGCCAGCCCAAAGCTAGACATTTCACATCTCAAATGATTCTCCCCACTTTAGTGTGCAATTTCACAGATGAGAAAACTGAGGCATAGAAAGGTTAAGTAACTTATCAATATCAAAACAGATGGGATTCATGTCCAAAAAACCTGGTTGCATAGTTACTGTCTTTCCCAGAGAAAAGCAAAGTCCTGTCAATCTCACTCTCTTAAAAGAAAAAAAAAATGACAACACATACACATTAAGCGTAAGGTAATGTGAGCGACCCAACATTGCACAGCTAGCTGGTGGGAGAGTGAGGGTGAAGATACCTGTCGATAGGTCACCCTGATCCTTGGCCCAGAGCCCTCCCTCACGCTCTGCTCTTAGAGCCCTTTCACTCACTGTTCCTATAGTCAATGCATCAGCAAGGAAGGTCCTGATGTATGAAGCAGAGATTGCTGACCTTCTACATTCTGTGGGATCAGTACAACTAGAAAAGAAAAAAAAAAGAGGAAGATGACTGGACTGCATCAATATTATTACTTTAGATTGAGGCTCACACCTATTTACTAATGCAAAATAATATTTATTAAGAACATAAAACACCATGCCCAACACGGAGGACACAGTGGTAGAGGAAGAAAAAATACAGTAGCAATTCCTTTTGCTCTAGAGATTTTCCCAATAGAGAAGACAGATAATAAATTAATTAATTAATTAAACAAAATAATTATACTAAAAGTACTGAAAAAATAAATAAAAAATTGTCATGAAAAATAACAGAAAAGAGAATGAGGCTTGGTTTTAAAGATGGGATTTCAAGAGTGATATCAGAATCAGCAATTCATCCAGTGTAGGGAAATAACTTAAATATAATTGTATAAACTGATCATGTGGAGGTAGATATGCTAAACATGTTTCTTTGATATTTCCTTAAGTCTAAGTTAAAATGCCATTTATGATGTTATTAATTATAGAAATCTTGACTAGGGGAATTTATTTGAATTTTAGAAGCAAGTTGCTCTTACCTGCAATGAGCAAACTATGGTACAAAGATCCATATACAGAATTTTCTCTTACCATAATTAATGACTTTCTTTGGTTACAACATGTTGGAAGTAAACTGATATACAAATAAGATTTATTATTTGAAAATATGGAATGATTCTACAATGTCAATTAAATGCAATTGCAATCAAATTCCATATGACAGTTTAAAAGAAAGACATGTCATATTATTCTCTATAAGTGAGAGTTTTTCAGTTCAGACCAAACATATGTGTTTTATTTTTTTCAGTTGAGGATATGATTTCTTCTATCAATGGAAAAGTATTAGGAATAGTAATCATGCAAAGACTACCAGATTATAAATGAAAACATTTGGCATAAAAAAAAGAAAAGGTTACAATGTTTTCATAGTCCCTTTTATATGTTTAAAAACAAATATTTTTTCTTAACACATTGTAAATATTCTTTTGACAGAGATTTTTCTAACTAGAAAACACTGCACAAGTTGTTTTTCAGCAAATTTAAATACATCTATTTGTTGTGACTACCTGTCTAATAAGGTAATAATATTAAGAGTGACCCACTAAATAGTGCTGCTCCTTTCACTGTGTCCTTTTTTCTAGACCGTCTCAGTGTCCGTTTCCGTCCTTACACTGAGCTGCATCGCCTTGGATCGATGGTACGCCATTTGTCACCCTTTGATGTTTAAGAGCACAGCCAAGCGGGCCCGAAACAGCATTGTCATCATCTGGATTGTCTCTTGCATTATAATGATTCCTCAGGCCATCGTCATGGAGTGCAGTGCCACGTTCCCCTCCATAGCCAATAAAACCATCCTCTTCACCGTGTGTGATGAGCAATGGGGAGGTAAGTCAATCATGGCCCTCAAGCTAATGTTTCTATTACAGCCACAAAGTGAAAACTGTACTTGCATAGCCATTGTAAAGCTGGGCTGGTATATTTTGTTGGCATTTGTTAGCATAGTTTTATAAAAACATGAAAACCAAGTTGAAACCCGAAGTGTTTTCACAGAATAACTCCACCTGTCTTGGTCCTGCTGTGTATTACTATCTAGTCTTCAGATAGAAAATGAAAAGAGGAGTTTATTCCATAATTCATCTGATTATGTTAGTTTTTCTTACATTGTCTAAAACAGAAAGGACTCACGTATATGAGTCCAAGTGTGCATTCTGGAATGATTTGCACTTTATGAGATAGTAGAGCATTATACTGCCCCAAGTGTCAAGTTCCCTAATGAGTTCCAAATACAACTGAATTTTTCATTTGAAAACCTGTCCTGCCTGGAAACTGACTGCAGTTGAATATGCGGACCAATGCTTTTCTCTGAGTCAAATTATCCAAATTTGCTTTCTCTGTTTATAACATATTAAATTGCTAAATGTTATCACTGGCATAATTATTCTATACTTTAATAATGATGAAAATAATGAATCATTTTTCCCCATCTGGTATGCATAGTAGTTAAATTTAAATAAGCAAGAGCTTGGAAGTCTTATGCTCCTATGACCCAAAAGTCTCAGAGACGGTCTTGGAGGTTTGTCTGTGACAGTGGACATACTTCTATCAATGCCTAATGATGACACAAACTTGAACCCAGCAACGAGTGACAGAACATAAAATAGTCCTTCATTTCAGCACAGCATATGCTAGTTGCATAATTATTGCATGAAATTTGAAGAAAAAATTGGCCCACTTCTGAATAAGTATGTATTCAAAACTTAGCAATGCAATCAAAAATTGCATATTAATATATTTTCAAGTATTTGCATTTTTAATTAATGTCAATTCTTACCCTGGTACTTTTGTTGGAACACTAAAAAGAAAAAAAACTCAGTAACTGAAAAATTAGGCATTTACTTTCACTAAAGCAAGATAAAATCTAAAAGACACTAGGATTATTTTGTACATTACCTAAAGTCCTATAATAGCTAAAATGTCACAATTTACTTTTTCTATTTTCCCAAACATTAAATATCCTTTATAAATATTTATCCCCAAAATATTATATCCTTTTTGTTGCTGAGATTTACTCTTATTTTCTAACATTTGGACAAGAATTTACAGGGGAGCTAACATCTCAGCAAAACATTAAAGGTGAGCAGGGAATCACCTGACAGGGAAGAGGAAAAAGGTGTCCCAGGGAAAAAAAAAGAACCCATACAGTGGGCAGCATCACTGGAAAAGAGAGAAGAGGGGTCCCAAGTGACAATTTCAGGAATGGAGGGTTATGTAAACTAATGAACTGTATTTGGGAAGAAGGTGGGTTGGGGGCTGGTTGTGATATGTCTCTTATCCAATTGCTTTACATTTGGAGTTATATTTGGAAAGAGCCTAAAGCTCTCTTGGTCAGAATTACTTAGTTAATTCTTGATGAAACTGAGCCATAAATTGTTTGCTCAATATTGGGAAGCAAACAAATATATCTAAACCTGGGCTTCTAACTCAAAAATTGGGTTTCTTTAGGTTTATGGAGATGGTTATTAGATAAAATGCCCACCTACTATTCAATATGTGTCCATAATATTTTCACTACGGTATTTTAGCAGTTTCATTTATAAATCTGTAGGCAGCTTTTATAAATTTTTCCTTTCCCATGTTGGCCTGAATAATTAAGTAACATTATTTCCCATTTTAAAAAGTTTACAAAACTAGGGAAATTTGAGAGTTGTTATAGCTAAGTAAATAGCCACATCACTTTCTAATTACCTTTGAGAATAAATATATAAAACTCATTTCAACCTGGAGTATTTTTATTTTCTAGCTAGAGCAGGCATATTTTCCCCCCACAAAGCAATTATTGTTGAGTACCTAAAAATCTGAACTTAGTCTTCAAGAGTCACTTAGGCTGAGTTTATAAACTATTTAAAGTCATTTTATATTAGCCACAATTACTTAAAATTATTATAAAGGCTAAAATTAAGTGTTACCAAATTGAATTTGCTCATCCTCAAAACAAACAATAAAATCTAAGAAATTAGCTTTCAAATATTAGATAAAATTGTTACTCCAATGTTTTTTAAAAGAGTATAAAAGAATTCAAAGCAGGTCTTTATTTTGCTCATTAGACATTTAGTTTATAATAATTTTTACATAGCATAAGCTTTATTAATTTAGGCTATTTATGTTCAACTGAAAATGTTATAATTCAGACCAAATGTGATACTTACAATCTTAAAACATCATAGGAATTATATCTTAGAGCATCAGTTCTCTAAAGCTTAAAGATCTTTAAAGTCAGAATACCATTTAGCACAATTTTTAAAACTTTGTTGGGAACTGTCTTTCTTCTCTTTATCTTAAGTTATAAGAACAGAATATTTATAAAAGCAGACAGTGGTATCATAATCATCTTATAACTAATATAACAGTGTGAAAAGAGCCAGTGAACAGTGTGGCCACTTGATTCATATCTGTCAAATCACATTTGGGAAACTCTGGAAAGTGCTATCTCTCTCCTGGTGCACAATAACCGAGAACTCTGTCACACTGAAAATATTACCAGAACAATGTAATATTTTATGAAACTCATTATATTTATCATTGCCTATGGCCTGTTCAGAAAAAGACCACAAACCATAAGTTTTGGTAGGCACACTTAACACTCAAAACCAAATAAATGTATTAATATTTTTAATGACCTTAAAATATGTCTTTGTATTTGTTCATTATTTGCTTCAATCACATCAATTCACACTTTTCAAATTTAAAAATTCTTCCAGAATTATGTTTATACTTTCTTGCTTGCTTGGTTTATATATGCAGTTTCACAGGACAAATTCTACTGGGAAGAATTCAGCTTTCTTTTTGCGCTCAATCAATGATATTATGGTCTCAGTTTTCAGTTATCCAGTGTTTAATGAGCTTGTACTATTTGTCAAACATTGTTCTGGACACTGGGAACTCAGTCTCCCCCTTTTTAGATTTTATTGCCAAATTGTTATAGTAGACTGAAAAAAAATAATGTATCTCTTCTTTACAGCCAAATTCATTATGGCATCTGGTCTCCTAGGAGATTTTTGAATATATACATATATATATGTTTGTATATGTATTAATAGGAACATTTATTAATATATTCATTAGGGAAAAGATAATAAAATATATTAAAGATTCAGGTAAACATTAATGGATCCATAAGCTTCAATAAGGCAGTCCAAATTAAATATTTGAAAAGTTATTTTTATTTGTCTATTAAATCCCTGATGGATATACCATGAAGGAGAAAATGTTTGCAGTTTTTAGGTAATTAGATCAACATGTTGGCTCAAAACTGGACCTTAACTCATCTGAGAGAAATTAAATTTGGTCTAATATATATTATTTAATCTCTGATTTCAAAGTAAAAATAAATATCCACATTTGTTCCTTTTTTGTTAGTTTGATGTATGTGTAATAATTTATTCAGATATGTCTATTCATCAGTTCAGTGGAAACACCAATTTTTAATGGCTGTCAGTCTTTAAAATGACATTTTGTAATTTAGATTATTCTTAAGTAGGACAAATTTTATGTAGCTGCATTCTAGGTTATATATAAATGTTTTAAAGTGTATTTAAGACAGTGCTTGCACCCTGGCTGGCATAGCTCAGTGGATTGAGCACGGGCTGAGAACCAAAGTGTCGCAGGTTCGATTCCCAATCAGGGCATATGTCTGAGTTGCAGGCCATGACCCCCAGCAACCGCACATTGATGTTTCTCTCTCTCTCTTTCTCTCTCCCTTCCCTCTCTAAAAATAAATAAATAAAATCTTTAAAAAGAAAAAAAAAAGAAAATGTTTCTCTCACACATCAATGTTTCGCTCTCACTCTAGCTCCATCCACTTTCTACAAAATTGAATAAATAAAATATTTTTTAAAAAAAGACATTGCTCATAAAGTACAGAGAGACTACAAAGATAGTTTCAACCATATGATCTCACCTGTAAGTAGACACTAATAAAAAAAAAAGCAAGCAAAATATAACCAGAGACATTGAAATAAAGAACAAATTGACAGTAACCAGAGGGAAGGTGGAAGGGGATAATGGAGGGAAAAAAGGGGAAGAATTTCCAGGAACAACTATAAAGGACACATGGACAAAAACAAAGGGGGGTAGGATTGAGGATGGGGGGTGGGGATGGCTAGGGTCAGGGGAGTAGTGGTGGTGGGGGGAAGGAGACAACTGTACTCAAACAACAATAAAAAAATGAATTGAGTGGGCCTGTAGGGGGAGCCCTGCTCCCTACCTCCATGGTGAAACACAATAGAGAGAACTCCCGTTTCCATAGTCCTCCCAACTTCCTTTTCCCTTCTAGAAAAGTTTCATTTCTTCGATTTTAGTGGCCATGCACCTGAATCACCATGGTGTGTTCCAAATTGCAATTATTTGTTGTTCCCGAATAAATCCATTATGGTGGGGGGAAAAACGATTTAAAATTTCAATGATATTTCTGAGGAATTTAAGACTATCATGTTAACCCTGTTATTTATAATAATCTCTTTATTAAGACAATCTATCCTAGACTGAAAGTATAATATCACTTGATCAACTTTTCTGTGTTCATTATCAAAATACATGTTTAGCAGCCAATTACACATTTTCTGACTATTTATATAAATATATTGACCTCTGAATGAGCTTTCTGTCCCATCTGTTTAAAACTTCAAACTGTTATCATAGTGGTGGTATCCATAACTGCAGTCAAGAGAAAAGAAAACAAAACAAAAAAACTACCAAAATCTACCTTCCTCTTCTCACTCAACTTAGCCTATTGCAGACATCCAGGCTTCACAGGTATGTAATCTTCAAAGCCATATTTTTATGTGGGAAGCTCATGTGATGCCTCTTCAAAACAAACAAAAGTTCAAAGCCACTTAGGTGCCTGGAAAGTGCTGAAGTCACTCTCTGGTGTCTTTGAAACTGGCTCGCCAAATGCTGGTCAGGCTATAGCACTTCAAAGGGAAAGGCTGTTTGCTATTCCTCCAGTAAGGCTGCTGGGATTCTATTACTTTTTAGGTAACTGGCCTGTTTTGCAGGATCAACTTGAAAGGGAGTTAGAAACTGATGAGATAGGTGTGAGCCACGTGGGCTACAGGAAGCTAAAAATGGCACATTGGGCTCTAGCAGCACACCTACCCTGCTGTCCCCTCTGAAGATTATGGTGGGGGAAACACTGTCAGAGAAATGAGAGAGTTTTAGAAAGAAGAATAAGGAGAATATTAAATTAAACTCAACTGACACTAGAAGATAAGACTCTGAAATCAAAGTGAGGATATTCAACTCAAAGATAGGTTTAAAATATATGCAGTAAAAATTAAATGAATGCTCAATAAATGTTATCACTACTATAGTGATCATCACAATTATTATTAGCTGATACAATAAATTGCTCTTATCTCAATTGATGGCATAACTGAGTCTGCATGCTTCTAATGCCCTTTCCAAAGCAATGAAAATAATAAGTGCATGGAGGTAATGGAATTATCGTTCAAGTAGGGGACCAAATCCATTGCCAACATCAAATTCAAAATAACTTGTGTAATTTTTAGAAGTGAATTAAAAAAAACTTTGTTTTGTTAGCTTTCAGGTAGAATTATGTTTAATTTTTTATTAAAATATCTGTGGAATTCATGTACAATATATTCTGTCATTTGTTTTACATTTAAGTAAAAGTGGCTATATCACTGTAATGTATTCAAATATCAGTGTAAGGAAAATATCCTTTAAAGTATTAAAAAAGTCAGTGATGGATATATTTTTGAAAAGCAATAAAAATTAATGTTGAATCACAATGCTGTTAATTAAGTGACTATTGACTACCTGCCTCTTTAATGAAAGTGTTCACTTGTGTTTCACTTGTAGGTATCACTTGTGTTTATATAATTAATGATAAGTAAGAAATAGCCACAATCTTAGAGATGCTTATGACTAATAAGTGAGATTGATATAAAAGAGAAAATACTTATATTGGTTTAAAAACTTTAAAATACCCTAAAAATCTCATTTTGTTTTTTAAAAGTACATACATACATATAACATACTTAAAGATTAATTTTGTATATGAACTAGTAACTCAACAGAAATATTATCAAATGTTTGCTGTATTGATTTTTGTTTTTTTTCCACATTTGAAGGTACATCTGGGAATACCTTCCCATTTCTCAGGAAAGTTATATTCTAATGAGGAGGAATCAACAAAGATTACATTCTCTTGCTATTTTAACAAAAGCATTAATAATTAGGTTTTGATTGAGTCATGTCTCTTCTTGTAAAAGCAAGTATAGGACAAACCAAATTAATCTTGTAAATTAGCCACATGTAATGAAAACAAAAAAAGGCCTCTGTGTTAAATGAACACTTGACTGGATAGACTCTGGCAGTGCAAATTAAGAAACAGCTAATTGTTATTCCTCTCTGAGCATATTAAATTAAATTAAGACTTCACGTTTATTACATATATACTGAATAAGTATAAGTAGTTAATATTGTAAATTATTTTTCCTTTTTCTGTGTGTGCCTGTCAAATCATGTAGAAGGTAAATCTATACTTTGAAAGCAAAGCACTGACAAAGTCACCTTTAAAAATAGCTTTGAATGATAAGATTTTATTATTTTGACTTTTGTTCCAGGTGAAATTTACCCCAAGTTGTATCACATTTGCTTCTTTCTGGTGACATACATGGCCCCCCTGTGTCTTATGGTGTTGGCCTATCTGCAAATATTTCGTAAACTCTGGTGCCGACAGGTATGTATTTCAAATAATTTCCTTGTGCTTTCTTCAATATGTGCTTAAAAGTAAAATTTAAGAGTGGATTGAACCAACATAGAATGCTTAGCAAAGGATTGTGTATGTTGCTAAAATAATGAGGCTGTAGCCATGGCCATATGTCCAAGCATTCTTTAGGGTCGTGTTTAGGGAATATATTTAATGAACTACCTAAATGATTTTAAATTTTAAATCTCTGTGATTAATTACCTTGATTTTCATCTGGGACTAATATTATAAATTTTACTTTTTATGAGGAATAACATAAAATTCCATTAGTTTCCTGAGATTATAAGTAAAGAACATTATATGTTTGATGAGATTTATGTAGTGCATTTGTATATACGGGTTTGATCTCCAACTTCAAAGTTTGTTTTTTGAAACAGTAAAAAAATCAAGCAAAATTTAGTGTTTTAGAAACTGTATATAGTGCTAACTTGTGAGGCCTAAAATTTGTTAGATAAGTTGTTTTTTCCAGTTAATGTATTAATTCTCTCAGTTGTTCATTCATGAAATACTTACTATATTTCATTTCCATGCATATCTGATTAAAAGCTAAAAATTGTAGGCATTGATGAATTCATAGCCTGCAGGAGGAAAACAGTGAGGTGCAGAGTGAAAATACCTTAATAAACATAAGCACAGGGAATCAGAGGACAGCGAGGTGGGAGAGGGACGTGATTCAAAGCAGGCAGCAGTTAAGCTAAACCTTGACTCGTAGGACATCAGCAGCAAACACATGTAATGGTTTGTAAAAGCATAGAAAAAAAGGATATAGCTCAGCCCCCTATATTGGTAAATTGTATATTATAATGACACATTACTTACAAACGTATATCTCTGTCTCTAAATATTCGCCACTACTTTAAGCTTACCTGGCTTGGAAATTTATTGCCAGCACTTTCAGCTTCCCTTAGTCTGTTTGCTCTGATGTATTTTACAGAACTTAAGTAATTTGCTGGGCCATTTTAATTCATTAAAATAATTTCACAAACCTTTTATTTGGTCATTGTCTGAGGATGAGCCTCAATTCAGGTCTTCTTCAACCCTTGTTTTTCAAAGCAGTTTTCTAGATCATTAGTTAGTGCTTAGATATGAGCAGTGGTTGCATTTTCAACCCTATGTGCATCACAATTCCAATTTTTTTCTTTTTCTCTTATTTTTACAAAGAAGCCCTTCCATAGGCTCATAAATGCAACCTGTACCAACACTTACTAGCATTCTATTGTCCAATTTCTTAACTAAAATAACAAATCTGTACTACTGTAAAACATAGGCAGTGATTTTTCTAGATCCTAATGATAGTTTCCTCAACACTGTCCACCTGACCATGAAACCAGTACCAAATATTTTAGGCTATTTGTTATTATTGTACCCCACTTCTTGATAACTGTTTCATGCTAATCAGTTTTCGTTAGGTTATCTAGCTCTTAAAGAAACCCAAAGTATGTGGGTTGTAACAGTAGTTTGTCTCAGTCATGTTCTGTGTCACTGGTGAGGGTGAACTGACACTACACCCCGCTTGTCCTCTCATTCCAAAGCTCAGTCAGAAGGAGCAGCACTTCCTAGAACATGCCATTCTGGGACTGAGGGAAAGGGCAAGAAAGCTGCAAAAAACATGTAGTGTTGCTTAAAATTTCTGCTTTGAGCTTGCATTGACTCCTCAGTTTTCATTTGTCAAAACAAGTCATGTGGTTAAGCTTGACCATGAAGAATGATCGGAAGTATCCTTTACTCACTGAAAGACACTGCAAGGCAAAGGGCAATGGGGGTCTTCTTAGAAGCTGGGGAGTGGAAGTGATAGGGCACAGAGAAGTCATAAACACAGACTCAAGGTCCAGACTGTACGAGTTTAAATCCTGACTCTACAACTGAATCAATACATGAATTTTGTTATTTACTTCAATTTCTGTGCCTCTCTTCTATCATCTTCAAAGTGCAGTTATATATCATCTACATCACAGTGTTGTTACATTTAGTAGATGGATATATTCAAGTGTCTGGTACATAGAAAATGTTTATTAAATAAAATACTTGAATAGCATATGCTGTTAATGTAGCCTTTCAACTAATTCTGTTTGCATTTCTAAAATCACAAGCATCAGCTGAATTGAGGTGTATGACTGCTTTCTTAAATAGATCGCTTCTGCAGTAAAATAACATTATAATGTGTTTTTTATTTGCCCACCTCCCCTACTCTAGTAAGTAGAAAACAGTACACTGTAATCTTCATCTTGTATCCTTCCAGTTAGTACACACTTCTCACATATCAGTTGCTTAATAAGTACTTCATTAAAAAAAGTGAGTAAAAGAATAACAGAAAGGGCTAAAAAATGTTTAGATATAGGAACACAAGGCAAATCCATTGCCTAGTTACTCAGAAAAAATTTTTCTCAGAGGAAAATTGGAATTTGAAAATATTCTTGGAAGAGAAAAAGCATTTATATGAGCATATAATACTAAAAATATTTTAGATTTATGTGGAGATTTGGATTTAGATGTTCAGTGTAAGAGCATTTCCTAGTTCTATATTTTTACTGGTTAGCAAGCATTACATAAATAGGTGCTTATGTTTTATTCATTTATTTACAGATTGACATAACTTTAAAACTCTTTGGGTGTACCTGAATCTGTCTTGTTCATAATCGCAACCCTAACACAATTAACAAAGTTCCTTGCATACATAAAGTGTTCAAAAATGTTTGTTGAATAATTGGGCAACTACCAAACCCCAACCAATGTACTTCTCTGTTATTTAATCCTATTAGTTCTCCATTTCCCAAACTCTAAAATATGTTGAAAATTGTATTACAAGTCTAGAAATAACCCACATTCCTTTGATGGATTGTCCTGGTTGGTACAAGCCACATAATTCAAAAGATTTGCCAAGGCTGTGAAACTAGAAACATTTACAAAATGCATTGCAGTAGAGAATGGAAAGTTCAGCTGAGTTCACTCTAGCAGCCACAATAAAGAAAATTAACCACAAATGAGTGATTATATGGAATTCTGCTTGAGCACCTCTCAATTTGCAACTGTTAATGTCTGTAAACACAGTGGCAAGGCAAGCAGTCCCATTGGCTAAACCAAATGAGCCATCAAATGGAGCCCTATCCTACCTGCTCATATTACAAAGATGCACTAAACCTGTTACATACTTTGGAGTTAATAAGTGTAAAATGATTAGTGAGCAAAGTGTGTGCCCTTCTCTGACTTTCTCAAGAACTTTCAGCATCATTAATAGAATTATCCAGTGCTTTCTATAAGCAGTGACTTAAATTCTATCTTTGATAGTGTGATTCAGAACTCAGTCTTGAAATGCTACAGACTATTCTCTAAAACTCCTGTTTTTTTAAGACCTACTTAATCTTATTTTACTTGGCCCTGTGTGCATCTGTAACCATTCTTTCCAATTCTAGGCCTCATATTTCACCTTTAATGCTAATCAAACATGTGGACTCATGTTAATTATTGCATAAATATGTATTAAGTGCCTATATGTCTGATACTGTATGTGGATATGGGGATGAATTATAATAGATATTTAAGTATGAAACTAAATTTCACCACTATAAGTTCTTTTCAATTTTGAAAGACCTTCCCTTCTTAACTTTTATCAGTCTCTTCTACATCCCTTTATTGTTCAATACTCTTCTAAGAGAACTTAATATAAGGTGATGACAAGTCAATCTAGAGTGAAGAAATAGACAGAAAATTGTAATTGCAGCAGCAGAATCAAAAGTAACTCAAGTCCACACAAAGAAATAAAGAGCATCAGTAAAGGTAACCATGTACATAAATACAGAAGAGGGTATAACAGAATCTTGTTTGTAATTATTTTCCCATTTTGACTTAAAAGATATTTTTGCATGAAACAATAATTATAAAACTCTGAAAATTCAGCTTATAATGTATAAAGATGTAATTCAAAGGAAAAATGGATTTAGAGGAAAGTTTTTATATATTGTGGAAACCAAGTTAGCATTAATTTTGTGGTATTTGTTTTTCTCTTTCTGCCTTGTTTCACTTAGCATAATACCCTCTAGGTCCATCCATGTCACTGCTAATGACACGATTTCATATTTTATGGCTGAGTGATATTTTACTGTGTATATGTACCAAATCTTCTTTATCCATTCAGCCATACAGTAGTTCTATTTTTAATTTTGGGGGGAAGCTCCATAGTGGCTGCACCAATTTACAATCTCAATAATGATGCACAAAGGTTCCCTTTCCCCCATGTCCTCTTTAACATTTGTTGCTTGTTGAGTAACAAAAATTGGAAAATACTTTGAAATGAGTGAAAATGAAAACACAATAACCAAAATTTATGACATACAGCAAAAGAAGTGCTTGGAGGGAAATTCACAGTTTTAAATAGCTATATTAAAAATAAAGATTTCAAATCAATAACATAACATTCTATCTTCTGAAATTAGCAATATAAAATATTAAACACTAAAGCAAATAATAGAAGGGCAATAAAAAGATTAGAGTGAAAATAAAGTACAAGAAAACAATAAAAATTCAATAAAACTAAAAGTTAGTTCTTTTGAGAAATAATGACAAACCTTTACTAAATAGCTAAGAAACAAGAGGGAATTCATATCACTGAAATGAGAAGTAAAAGAGGGAAACCATCATAGACACTACAGAAATAAAAAGAGTAAGAGGATAAAGAAATGCTATCCATCAGGAAAATATAAAAGTTGTATGCCAACAAATTAGATCATGTAGAAGAAATGGGCAAAATCATAAAAAGATGCAAACTATAGAAACTGAGTAATGGAGAATTAGAAATAACTGAGTAGACCTATTACAAGTGAGAAGATTGAATTAGAAATAAACTTCCCACAGAGAAAGGCCCTGCTAGCTTCACCATTAATTTCTACCTAACATTGAGAAGAGTTAGCTTCAAATCTTCACCAGCTCTTTCAAAAAATGGAAGATGGGGCAACACTCCCAGCTCATTCCTTGAG